CAGTCTCAAGCTAAACTTTAGTTATTTTAACAATGATTTGGCTGGATATTTCTATTTGTGATCTTTTCCTATTGCTGAGATGTAAAGATCATGGGGAAAAAAGTTTTTTATTAGGCAGAAATAGCATTTTTCACATCTTAATTAAGATAAAGTAATTTCTAAAACAATTAGTTGGTTAAATAGAGTATTAGTTATGTTAGTTTTTTCTGATTGTTTTAAATATCTTCATGGTCATGTGAACATGGTCTGTGATCTGCTCTTATTTATCTTGATCTAAAACAATTTGATACACCAATTCCACCCTCCAAATAGTAATGTAGCACTTTACAACTTAATTCAAAGATTTTAAATGTGTTTAAGTAATTAACACATTAAACTCCGTTTATTGTGCTTCTAATGGTGTAATAACATCAATTCATATCTTAGGGAACAAGTTAAGCTAAAATAAAATGTCAACTTTGTGGATTTAACACCTAATTTGGGTGTGTAGGGAGTAGGTTCATAAAGACACACAAAAGAAAATGTGGAAATTGACGTGGGTTAAAGAAATGTGGGAAATCCTTCCATTAGATTCCAGGGAAGTGCGGAAGACAGCCAATGTAATGATTGGAGAAATTAGAAAAAGTGCTGGAGGGGTGTGTGTGGAGAAGTATAGGGATTATTCTGGCTTCTGGAGTGTTACTGGACTGGAGTCTGAATCCCAGTGAGTGGGTTGACTGGACTCGGCTCTGAAGAACTATAGAGGTCTTGGGTCATTCTGAACCTGTTGCCTAGAACAATTAAGTCTTATTCCTGTGTTGCTAATGTAAAGTGCTTTATCCAAGAAATGTGGTATCCATCTCCCATGTTGGTTGACATTTACAGAGCAGCACAGGGGTCCGCATTGCTGCCTCGCATCAGTGGGGACTTGGGCAGAGTTTGTGTTTTCCCCGTGTTCCCGAGGGTTTCCTCTGGGTGCTATGGTATTCTCCCACAGTTGAAAGACCTGCCAGGAGAATTATTCCGGTGTGTCTGTTTCTGCTCTGCGATGGAGTGGCACCCTGGCCAGGGTCTCCCCTGCCTTGCGCCCACTGCTGGACTGGATAGGCTCTGGCTACCCTGTGGCCCTGGATTGGAAGATGTACTTAGAAAATGGACTGGGTGGTTGACATTTACATGTAGAAATTCCCATTTAGAATTAAAAACCTCAAGACCCAGACTCCTTTCTCACATGGACAGTGTATCATCATGGTGACTAAAGTAAGAGAAAAGAGTCCTTATTGAGCTGTTTTTCAAGACAATGGGGATGAATCGCTTGTGATTCAACCTTTTCTCCTCTGATTTCTCAGGCTGTTTGTCCTGCCTCCCACCATTCCCAGAAGGAACAAGAATACAACATCGCGAGTGATCAAAAGGCACATGACTTTCACCCAGCTGAGATGGCCATGGCTGTGCTAGCGCGTGAATTTCAACAGTGCGGAATTGAGCACATTTGACCATTTTCTGACTTCCTTATGCTTAGTTGCTATTGTTTCCCATGAATTTGGAAATTGGTTTAATTATCACACCCAATACTTTCATTTTAACACCTTGTTACATGGTGCATTCTTATTGTAGTTGACTTTTGACAGAAACATTGTCTTCTCCCACAAGAAATATCTGGGTTGAAAGAAATGTATTTCCAGATCTGAATGCAGGCAAGAACAGCAAGGTGAAATTTTCTGTTGCTTCTGAGCAAAATCATATTCAGTATTTGAACATTTTAATGAGCTGTTTTCCACTGTATTGTTGCAGTGGGATTTTTGTAGAATACTTGGGGAATTTTGAGTGATGAATAGGAGAGGACTCTAGTGGTGCGATATCTAATAATTTTGCTAAATGTATGTAAAATCATAAATACAATTTAATTGATTTTAATTTTTAGAAAGAAAATTACTTTCTTTTCCCTAAATGAAATGTAATGCTTCTTGAAACTGCAGTTCTCCCTGCTAAAAAAAACATTGGTATGAAAAGGGTCCCAAAATGAAATTTAATTCAGGTTCAGATTACTGTAAAAATTCTGTGTAAATTTAAGATTAATACTGCCCGTGACATTTTTTATTACCCATTTGAAACTGCTCAAAATCCCTTGATGATCCTCTTAGTCTCTAAGCATAGGTCTTGCAGTTATGGTGGTGGTAACGTACTAGAGAAGAATGGTCTGTAAGTGTGAACTTTGGTGGTTGTATCATACTTGTTTCAAAGGTCCTAAGTTTTTAAAGTGCTTTATTTAGCACTGAATTGTAACCTTCCAGTTATACCAGCTATACACAGTAATTATTGGGAGTTGATCTCTTAAATTTGACATTTCTCGCAATTGCTTTTATGCTGCTGTGTTGTTAAATATGAGATGTATGGTGACATTTTCACAATTTTGGTCGAGCGGACCTGCCTGATGAGAGGTCGTCTTGTTGTATCCATTTAATACGTTTGTCATTCTTAAGATTGTTGTTGGGATTTTATACTGTTTTGACTGACTGTTCATCTTTATTCTTGTTCTCTTAGGAGAACAGCTTCTTCAATTTCTTGTTTTACATAAGTGTGTGCAGCTGTGTGTGTGGTGGGGGGGTGTGTGAGGGGATATTGTACTCTGGAAGATTTTTCAAGCCTTTTGCCTGAAATTTAGAGGACCTTTTATTCCTTGTTTTAAGCCTTGTTGGTAACTGAATATAATACTGCAGTAGGCTGTGTTTTGGATCCCATTCAATTTTTGAATGTAGGGAGGTTATAAATGTCAGGACTGTTCAGACTAAGTGAAGATCTTGACCTGTCTTTTGAGGTATTTGGGAAAGGGCTGAGGAACTATGGTAACTCTCCCTGAGGCCAAACTGTGCCTTATTCAAGAACTAGTTTGGATGCAATCTGTAATTATGTGGGTTAATGGTCTGAATTACATCACAGTTATCTGATTCTCCATGCTGTGAATACAATTGACCAACTATGATACTGAATATTCTTAAATCCACTTCTGTTAACATTTGTTACTAATTTGTTTACAAAATGTTTCTTGTTTGCAAAACTGGCTGAGACCTATTGATATTTTTACTATGTCTTTATAGGAGACAACAAGTGCTCCAAAGTGCTGTGTAATTGGGTTGTGTGCTGAGCTCCTTACTGGGCTGCACTTTTAATGGTCTAGTTTCAGCAATGCCACAAACCAGAAGACAGCTTTAGTACACTTAACCAAGGCAATGGTTTATCATGTGAGTGGAGTGGATGTTATATGCTTTATATCAGAAGCTGTTAGACTAAGTTATTGCTGTGGGTCTTACTCTGATTAAGCCATTTTCATTCATTTCTCATTCATCAGCCATTGGTTATAATTTTGATTAATCTGTTTGAATGGATGGTGTAGCTGTAGTTTTGTCAATTTGCACTTTTGCCTGCAAATGTTTTGCTTCACTTTCCGTTTTCATGACAAAATATGGAGGAGTCATGCTGTATGTTTGTCATGCTTTTGGATCTTGCGGCAGTTAGTGTTGTCTTCCAGAGAGAGACTCGCTTAAAATGTATATATTTAATGTAGCAGGAGGGGAGATGTGAAGGAAAACGGATGCTTGTGACATCATTAGCGCTTATGTCTCTTGACTTAGCATTTACATGAGGAGTTTAATACAAGCTTGCAAATGTAGGAAAATATATTAATACCAAAGTGTACATAAATCTATTAAAAAAAGAGCTACTGTAATTGACTACAAGATGGTTAAATAATGGTTATGAATGTTTTCATATGAATGAAAGTTTTCCTGAAACCAATCAATGCGTCAACTGTGCAGAATTAACTAATATAACGTGTTCAAATAGAAAAGAGAACAAACTGTATGGTGGTCTGTCAGAATGCTTTTAATGCAGAAGATCTTGTGTATAGTGCTACTTTATTCACTTATAGTGTTGATCATGTTTGATATATTACATGGCACTTGCAGAACATCAGACAATTAATCAGATTTGTTGAACCCATAGCATCATGTTTTCTTAACAGCATAACCAGTATAAAAACCTTTTCACTTTTGAAGTTTACATTTTTGGGGGTTTCTTTTTAGTTTAACTTTCATCCTAGTCCTAGGTGATATATTTTATGGTACTGAAAGAATGACTGCATCAATGCCCGGTTTTTATTCTACAGTAGAAATAGGTGTAAAACTCTTAGATTGGTGCAGTGTTGAGATGAACATGCACATTGTGACTACTCTTATTTACTAGTGATGGCAGTCAAGTGAATGTGATTCCCCTTGAAAGGAATTCTTGTAGTTTTCCAGGTTAAAGCTACTTCTGTAGAACATGGAAGCCACCTGTGTGTGAAAGGAGGCCTGCATGTAGTATGTGTATATATTCTGGTGGTACTATTCAGGACAAGGTTACATAAACCTGGTCAACAATTCTATAATATTTTTAAAGAGTTCAGAGGGTCTGTGGAGTCATGGTGTGACTGGTGCTGGGCTTTTTTCACACCTCCCCAGTGTAGCGCGGTCATGGAGGTGATGCGTCAGGCTAAGACTGAGAGTCTGCTCTTCACTCGACAGCTTACAAGTGCGTGTCTGAAGAAGGGCATGTTTGCCTTGTTCTAAACCAAAATTGCACTTCACAAAAAATAGAATATGATAATGTGACGTGGTATACGTTTAAAAGCTTTTAACATTCTCCTGTTCAGCTTTAGAGGCAGTATTCAGATTAGTAGTACTGATCTCTGCATTCAATAGGATGTTTTTAATATTAGCAGGGATTTATATTTAAAGAATTGAAGATGAAAGGAATTTAAGGAGTTTTTTTTGTGATGGGTAAGGTTTTTGGACTGTTGTTGCACTGTTGTATTTTTACAATTATCTATTTCAGCTTTTATTATTGTATAGCATTTGGACTGAATGCAGGCTGAGATGTTGGAAATACTCAATATGCTTTTGCAGTGTTGCAGTGTCAGTTTGTGTTGATCCAATGTTACACTACATTTTTCCTGACAGTAATTAATTTTCTTTTCTTTGCAGATCTCTCGCTTCCAAAATGTGAGCCCAAGCTTGATGTACCCAGCCAAATAGCAGGTAGGTTTTCCCTTCCTCAAAATTAATGTTGTTCTTTAGGTCTGTGTGCATAGGTATGTGTTATTGGGCAGACTTGTTTTTAATAAATAAAGAAACATTAAATATATAGTCATACCATGGCTAAATCCTGCTTAGGAATTCTTTAAATTATACTTACAAGTCTGAATACAGACTCTTGAATATCACCTTGATGTTCAATAAAATGACATGAGGTCAGTTATCTTGATTGCTGATACTGAGCAGTAGGTATTACATTTTTTGAACAATTTCATATAGGGACCATATTTTTATTTCAGACATTTAGATTATTCAAATTCCACCTGTTTTAATAGAAATCCATCAGTGAATTCAGGATTTCCATTCCTCATTTTCTGATTAGATTCTGTGGTGGATTTACCAGGAATATAAATAAGGCTGCAGAGCCATTCCATTCTGACAGAACCATGTGAAATTGTGTAGTAGCCTGCCATTATAATCTGTAATTAAACCTCTTATTGGTTGCTAAAACAGATATTGATATTCTTTTCATAGCTTTATGATAAAAATCCACCTTGGGAACACTTGTCTAATACCATAGTAGAACTGTATTTGAGCAAACAAAATTTTATCACCATTAATCCAGTACAAATGTGTAATACTGAAATGTGCTCATTATGCTGAAGGGAAATAATCTTAAATAAAACATAGGAGCGGGTAGGTTTATTAACTTTCATTTGAACGATAGATGTTATTGTTCACTTGCTGTATCTTGCTGAATTATTTGAGTGCAACTACTTTTGAAAGACTGTGAATTGAATTAAAATCTGGTTAACTGTGCTGGACCAGTGATGCTTGTTCTTGATGATAAAGTATACTGGGTATGTTTTTTCCTCCTCTCTTATGTGACGGCAGGAAAATCACCTGCTGAATTACCATTAGTGGTTACAGTTTACATATATTATCTCTGGAATATGACTTTTATAGTTTTCAGGAAGAAATCACGGTGAAATTGAAACAGAGCATGGGTTATGGATCCCTGGGTTCAACCTGTACAAATCTGGTTCAGTCTTCAGTCGGCTTTTGTCGGTCAGCTGAGGAATATTTTTGTTTTGCTTGGATGGAATAACACTGCTTATACCATTTCAGAATTGTTTTGCTGTTCCCCTCAAATGATATTGATGTAGGATGGAATTTACCCAAAAAGCACATAGCCAGCTCCTCGGAGATGCATGTAAGCAAGGGATCCTGAAGGAATGTCTCTTTTTGCACTGTCTGGTGTAGTCACCAGAACTGACACAATTACTCCTTGAGGTCTCACTGACTGTAGACATGCAGTAAAACAGAAAAGCTTGTTTTGTCTAATGCAAGCAAATATTTCCCTTAACAGATTGTGTTTGTACCTCAGATCTATAAAGATTGTAAAATGCACTCTTAAAAACATCTGTTTCAGACAGCCTTGTTAACGAAATAAAAATTCAGTACAATGCATCATTCTGCTTAATGAGAAACATAAGAGGATAATGTCTTAGCAGCATGACATGATATTTTATTTCAAAAGTTTGCATTGGAATTTCTGAACACTTAATTTTGTAAACATTTAATTCCTTTTTCTTGCAAATGTGCTGGTGTTAAATGATTATATGGGCTACAGAGCATCCAGTTGTTTGTGATTAAAAATAGATCATATTCCATTTGGTAATGCCCACTGTAATGAGTTTTGTATTTAATCATTCATTTTGTATTGATTGCTCGTTTGTTGGAAATGCTAAAATTGTCAGGGAACAAATCCGAAGTCTTCTGCTAGGAAGTTCGGATTAGTTTTAAGTCCTAAGGAAAGGTCAAGTAGAAGTGTTAGGAGCTTTGATACAGGGCTTTGCAGACTCAAGCTCAGACAGTCAGAAGGACCCTGGGGCTAGATGAGGATAGTTAATTCACTCTCTATATAGCTTCCTTAGCTACACATCTGGGAATGTGGAGGAATAGTGCTGCAATCGTAATAGGAAACTTCTTTGTTTTCAAGCTAAATGAGCTATGTTTAAAGAACAATTAAGTTTATCTGTCAGTAAGTATTTGATACGTTTTAGAAGGTATGTTATTCATCAGTCCTAATATCAAAAAGGCTTAGTTATTGTTCCCTCCTTAAAAAAAGAAATTCATGTCTTGAGCAGAAGGCCAGTAGAGCTATGATAAGTAAATTAGAGTGCAAATCCCATGATACACAAATGTTGTATAGTCTGTGCAACTGCTCTGCTTTCAGGAAATCTGTGATTTCAGCAGCAGAATGGCAGACTAGCTGTCAGGAGTGTTACTTTCATCCTGTGTTGCAGAAGTGAAGGGAGTCTACCTGGAGATGCCATTCTCTTTTATATTGATTTTCTGAGGGGGGAGAGGTATAAGGCTTCATCCTAATGCAGTGTACCATGCTTGTACATGGCTGCAGGGAAGTGTTCAGGCTTATTCAGATGGATTAAATATGTAGTTGCAGAAAAACTGGAGATGGAGAGACAGTACACATCTGCATGTTCAGATTCCACTGCTGTGATGAGATTATTGACAGTGACAAAGTCAGTGTGGTTGTCAAAATGTTTATGAAAGAATTAGATGAAATGAATAGATATCCCAAGAATCGGAAAATAAGTGCAAAGCAAAAGTCGTGCAGGAGAGCCAGAATGCAGTGCAAATGATTTTAAAAATGATGTAAAAAATTTTATTAAGGGAAACTGGAAATAAGGTAGGTCTTTAGGACCGTCATGAAAAGTCCAGACTAGATGCCAGTTTTTCAGAACATTTTCCTCTTTAGTGTTTCTATTCTAAAGTTACAATGGTGGCGGAACAGCAGAGTGCCTGTGCTGCCTGATTACATTAGGAGTTGTTCCCAAGGATCATACTTGTCTAATAAAGAGGGACATGGCAATACGCCGCAGTGTTTGAGATGTACAGTATGCAGCCACCTGACTTTCAGTAAGAGGATTTGTTTTCTTTGTTGGTTTAAAGAAAACTTTTATTGAAATGGCCCTTGTGCCCCCCTGCAGAAAACCATTTTATCAATTTAATTAATTTCTGAAATTTTGCCTTGGGAAGATGCAAGAGACACTTGTGTGGTGGTGCTTTGTTTTGCAAAGTAGAAAATAATGGTCTAATTAGACTGGTTAAGAAGTGAAAACATATGCTGGCAGTTTATCCGATTGGACAGAGCTCTTTCTTTGTTCCACAGTCTCTTGCCTTTGCTACACTGCTCGGAGCAGAAGGTTTAGAAACACAAGTGGTGTAGCTCTCATTATCGCTTGCAGATGACTTCCAGGCCTGTACTGAATGAAGATGCATGGAAGCAATTTAGACAAAAGAGTGGTCATGGGGAGGCCACCCAACCCCCTGGAGTTTCTGTGGCAGAAGCAGCTGCTCTGACAGGAGCATCAATGCTGAGTGGAGAGGAGACCCACAAGAGAGACACTACCTCCACTGCTGAAATAGTTAGCTGGCCCACTTTATTTCCACTTTTGATTGTGTCCAGAATCTTAAGCTCCATCCCTAAAAATAGCTGAAATTATATATTTTCTAAATGTTGAAATGGATAGAAGCTGTGGCTTAGAGGAATGCGTTTATAGTTGGAATACTAACTTGTTTGCCGTTTTCATTTTTATAGATAGCAGTATCACCACTGTAATTATGGTTTCTAGAGTGTTGTAACCTAAAATAATCATGCAAATAGGGATTGCTCTGTTCACTGCTGTTTGCAATATGTCTTAATAGCCATTTGTTTCAATGTCCTCCATTTATTTAAGTTACAAGCTTAGCAAATTGTTTTCAACAAGAAACCAGTCTTGTTTATTTCATAAAGGAAAATGAAATAATAGTGATAACTTGTGAGATGTTTACTTAAGCATATTTGCCTTTGTCATTTTATATATTAATTGAATGGTGAGAGCATCAACAGACCTAAACCAGGAAACCACTTGCCTGTCGGTCAAAAGGATATTTCAGTGTTGTGAAGGAATTTGAAACCACAGTCTCCTACTTAATAACTCCCCTCAAGTGAATAGACTGCATGCTGTTGCAGAACATGGAAACCTAAAAGACTATGATGTACAAAAGGTTATTTTGTTCCAAATAAGTTTGATGTTGGCTAGATATCCATGTTTTATTAAGTCAAAAAGAAGCAAGCTTTAGGCAAAAACAATGTTAAGATAATGGAGACGCATTCTTCTTTGGCAAATTATTAGAAGTGTGAGGCAATATTAAAGCCCTAAAGGTAATCGCTTTAACTATAAGCCCTTAAAGCTTTGTAAATCTGTAATACATAGGATGTAGTGATGGAGGTTAAATACTTAGCACCTTGCTGTCTGTCTTTTCTGCCTCATTTGAAATAAACCTGAGTTTTGCGTACGTATAAAGCAAACATAAGGTAAAACTAAGGGGAGATACAAGATCTTCTGCATAACACTGCTTCTTTGTAACATGTTGGATTTGGTCAAGTTTCAGTTTGCAATTACTTATATACTGGTCAGCTAAGGTGCGGATTGTGCATAATTTGATTACCCACAATGTGATTATGGGATTCAATAAATAGTTCTAATTTATTTTTTACTTGAGTAATTGTGGTACATACAGTAGTATTGTTAATAAAGGGACACCACAGAGAACCCAGCTATTGGTGAAACTGTTCACCTAGATAGTTATTGTAGAATATCGGCATGTGATTCTGTTTACAAGACTGCATTTAAAGTTGTATAAGGGTTACAGTTCCTAATCTTTGTTCAAAGAAACTTCTTTTGCTCAGTTCTTGGAAAATGTTTGAAGCCAAGTAGATTGGAAGAATATTTGGCAACATGGGATAATCCAAGTGTAATACAACAAGTTTTTCAAGAATTCCGTGACTTGTGGGTGTTTGTATACTGTGTCTGTCAACAGGAAAGGAGGACTTGGGGAAGTTCATTAGGTTATAGAAGGCAGGGCTTGGTTAGCAAAAGTAGATCATTTGCTTTTGATCAGGGCGGAGCGGTGGATCTATGGCTAAGGATCTG